CTAAGAGCAGCATCTAATCGTTTTTGAAAACGTCCAAGGTACGAGAGGATACAACTGAGTCTGGGAGTGCGTTCCAGGGTTGGCAAACCCGAAGGGAAAAGTAATTCCGTCGACACTCTAGACGGCTATATTGTTCCTTCAACTTTAAGCAGTTACCCCTGAGCTGCGTGTTGTGGCTAAGTTTCAGCAAATGGCGGCATACGTGGTTGGGGTCACTCAGTATCTGATACGCTAATATGAGATCTCCTCGAAGCCTTCGATAGAGTCCGCTGAAAATTCCCAGCGACATCAGCCTTCGGTGGTAAGAGTGATACCGCAGGCCCTTTACATTCTTTGTTGCTGGGGAAGGAGTCTACGCTGCTTACCGTGATTTCTCGAGGGCATTTGGTTGTCTTGCTCCTTGGATATTTCTTCACAAGCTTCGGAGCTACTAGATGGGTGATCCTATCTTAGCTTAGATTCTTTCATTCCTACTCCGACGACGCTTAAATGTGCTCGTTCATCCTGACCGATTCGATAGGAGTTCACTGTGGCGTCTCTAGAGACGCAGCACTAGGACCACGGTTATTCCTCGTGTTCAAAAAGCGACGTCGCGGACGTGTTAACGTTGAACTTTCTACTCTTTGCGGACGACCTCAAGATTTGCCGAGCAATCAAATGAGTAGGAGACCAAACAATTCTGCAAGGTGATTTTGACAGCGCTTACGAATTTGCTTGAGTTTAACCCTACAAAGTGAAAAGTAATGAACATATGCCACCAGAGCACCCCGCAATATCGAGTGGAAGAACAAGTCCTGTGCTCCTCATAAATGTGATCTTAGGGTGTTCGTTCAGGACGATCTCGGATGTTCAAAGCTGGATGAGACGGCTGTGAAAAAAACAGCTAAAACTTGGGCCTAGTGTGGAGGGTGTTTAACCGGTTTGACCCTAGCTTCTTTTCGTAAACGCACATTAGTTATCTGAAAACACACTTTGAATACAACATCCAATCTTGGCATCCTTGGCAAAATAGTGAACTCACTGCTCCTGAGAAGCCACAACAGAGGGCGATGAAATGTGAAGGGATTGTTCAACCTTAGCACTAGAGGCTAAGGACTCTAGGAGTTTTTAGTAAACATTAGCTTTTTCTGCGAGGTGACCGCCTATTGGTGCATCAGATTTTCAATGATCCCAAGCACCCATACCAACCTTATAGGAATACAACCAAAACACCACAATGAGAGGATACCATGTGAAATTAGTGACACAGTATAGCCAGTTGGAATGCCGTCAGAACTTTTTCTCTTTTCAAGTATCGCAACTGTGAAGTTTAATTCCGCACTTTGACATGTTCGCTTTTAGTTTGTCTTAACTCGAAACTAGACTTGACGATGCATTACACTAACTACCCTACATAATTTAACCCATTACTGGGACACGTAACAACGTAACAATACTATGTGCATAATCAAAATGTGCGGTAAACCCACGGCTACTCGTGGTGTATATTTTTGGTACATCAATTCTTGATCTCTTAACCTACGAAAAACTGTTAAGCGTTTGCGTTTACACTGGTGATAAAGCTATCGTTAAATTGTTCCATTTTCTGCCGCCACCTAATGCAACACAGTCACAACAGGAACTTGAGGGATCACCAGTTCAATGCGGTTACGTAATACTTTCAGCTAGAATTTCAGTTAAATTTTACTCTGTTCGTGTGTCAGTCATGGAAGGTCCACCCAAATTACATTGTATCTGCCCCGACATTATCCACACATAATATACCCCTTGACGTCGCTGTAAGACACCTATATTTTGAGATAAAGCTTGTGTAAACTGCACAATCTGCACTAACCAACTCAATTGAGGTTAGCTCCTTTTGGCATGCCTCTGTGTGAGCACAGCGGTGAGTCAACCGAAACAGTTTTTCTTTTATCACTTTATGTTTTTCACCAGGTTGTTATTCTCATGCTGACCATCCTACGGAACTTGTTAAGCATCAGCTTTTTAACCCGTATTATACCACTCTCCTCTGCACCGTTATTTTTTCTGGAAGTTTTAAACACCTAGATAGATAGAGGAATCCGTATGTCATAAGGGTAAATGAGGACGCATTTTAACCTGATTACATAAGCAAAGACTGTGTGCTATTCTATCTTGAACTGTTTAACACAATTCTGCTCATTCTTATAAGCATCTAACTTGCAGTAGTTGCGTAAAAAATAGAACAATGATTTTAATGTTAATATAAATGCAACTGATTAACAGTTTTCTGTGGGTTAAGAGGGAAATCAAAAATGGACATATAAAAACTTACGCGTCACCGTGGAAATCAACAGTATTATTGACCTTGAGTATGCTCCATTTGTAACTATTCCATGTTGTCTATAGTGATCTATTCCATTAGTTTCATTCATGAAATGTTCATGTCGAAACCCTACTGGGTTATGCCATCAGTTGTTACGCGTCATTAGCTGGCAACCCAGAAGATTCAATCAACTCTAAGCTGTGTTGACAAGCGTTTTACAGATATAGGTCGCTGTTGATCGTTCGATGAAAACAAGCAGACCAGTTACAGACCGATACATGCATCACAGGCATTTCAGTGAGGTACCGATGGTTTGTTGTCAGACACAGTCTGGTGAACCCATCATTAGTCACTCCGTGACTTCACGGCATTTTGTTTTGAAAAGTGGGTACGATAGTGATATACAAGTCAAGGAGCCATGTTCTTTGTCTGACCAGTAGGGCAACACCAGACTAGTTGTGGAGTATTGCATTCCATAGTTTGGTGAAGTTAAATGCGAGATTCAGTAAATGGTAGTAATTTATTCTGGTGGACTGTTAAAATGTAGGCACCAAAGTACAGTTTAATATTTTCTACTAACCAAAATACTCACTCGTGGCCAAAACCAGGGGAATCAAAGCATAGAATAGAAATAACGCGTCGAATTTTTGATGTGTAATGTCCTAAGGTCGTTTTTCTACAAGAATTTGGGATTTATCTTTCGGGGTAAGAGGAAGTGACAGAAAAATAACATGTCTGAGCCAGTTCCCAAATTCGGTAAAATGATTTGATTAAAAGCATATATAAGTTTATTTATTTTACTAGCAGATATATAGACATGGGGCAATGGAGTCTTCGGGAGCAGATAAGAGAATGGAAGGTAGTGTTAACCTAAAAACTGAACATAACACAGAGCAATCTATGTTTTCGATTCCAAGATCACGAGGGACGTCAAGTTAACCACAGTACTAGGTTAATGTAGTCGCATCTCAGAATGGTTCTAAACATGGAGAGCGAGGAACTCTGGACTATGCTTTTGGTCCTTTTGTTACCCGATCTACTTGGGGGTTCGAAAATTTACCGTTGCGACAGGAATGAAGATTGGGATCGAAAGAGGGTAACTAGCCAGAATACTTAGGCATCTGTGAGAATGTCATCGGATGCAGATGCAAATGAATGGGAATTGTTAACGAAGAAGAAATTGTTGTGTGGCGGATGTGCTTGGGCACAGAAGGAGACAGGAGCACAATAGGGCGATGTAAAATTATTCGCGGTTTTCATGAATTCGTCAAAGGTCGTGATAAAAACCGGTTGCCCAAGTCGAAGTAGGGAGTTGACTTAGGGGTCACAACTTCGGGCTTCTGGCTTAATAACTTAACCACAATTCAGGAATTGAGGTCAGCAAATCCCATCTGATGAGAGTTATTGACCGATGGTTGATCCATGCGTCTTTCGTTTGGTCGATTGCGTACAGTGGCTCAATCCTACTCATGAATTCAGTAGCTGAGATACAACAATTCACAAGTATAAAACAAGCGGTAGTGACTTTATTTAATGGCTAGTCACATGCGCTTCACGACAATGTTTTAGTTGGGCATGTGAATTTTATAAGAAGTTTACCTGCCAGGATTAACAACCTTGGGTAATCCTGACATCGCAGAGCTGGAAACCCCCAAGGTGGACAACGAATAAAGTCTAGGTTTTAAGCAATCTTGTATCATGAACGACTGGAGATAATCGGAGTGTTCAGTGGACGCTACCGGCAACTACGTGGAAACGGGATAATAAACGAAATGTTGTGGGAATTAACTCACATTTGTCAACTCACCCCGAACATCAACCTGAGAGGCATTGGCCTGAAGATCGTCTAAATTGTAGACGTTATTTTTTCTCCCTCCCGGTCTGCCAACCTTGTAACGATCCTCTAAACTCAGTTGTTTGTGACATCTTAAGTATTTTAAAAAACGCTGCATATGACATTGTCTTTAAACACTGGAATTATAATCCGTATTGACGCGTGTATATCTGTGCAGACTGGTGAGCACCCCACTTGTTATTTGCCACAAGCTTTAAAAGAACAAGTTATTATTCCTTATTGCATGGTGATATCTCACTCCTACGACCTTATTTTATCTGCAAATACTCTGTCGCTCCTCGGTACGCATGTTATTTGTTCCACCTAGATCGTATTCAAATTTACAATTCCTTCTGTTGTCAGCCTACGGGACATGTTAAAGCCATGCTATTCTACCCGTCACAAAGACCAATGTTCTCTAGGGGTCGATAAGTGTAACGAGACAGTTTGTAACCATGACTGCCTATCGAAAGCGCAAAATCCTCTGGAATTAGTGTAACAGCGTTTTCCTCAGTAATGAATTGTTTGAAAATGCGTTCGGTTTGATGTTCGATGTGACATTTAGCTAGAAGACGTAATCACAGTACATATTGTCTACCTGAGAGTATGGCGAAAATCCTGATTGCCTTTTCGAACAGCGCCGCGGGTAACCTCTGATAGATGACATGCGGCGGCACATAACAACGAAAACCTGCGTACGGGCGATGACGAACGCATGTCTAACCATGCCCCGGCCGCAATGTCACCTTTACGAATTCACGGCCAGGCTGTCTGGACTGGTCGGTCGACCAATGAAATGAAGGGTCACTGATCAACAAATCGGCTGTGGAGACATGTGACTGAATCTTGGTTGGTTCTTTGTAGACGGAATCCACAGCGGCCAATTCGTGTGGTCAGTGGTCGTAGTGATTCCAGACAAGCTGCGGCGAGTTCGACTCGTCGCTGATGCGCTGCCTGTGGCTTGTCTGGTCTCTACTGACCTGGCTCGCAGCTATTTTGTGTACAGTCGGTTGCTTGCTACCATACTGGCTGAAGGGATACGTAACCATACCCCTAACAACTTCAGTTCAGACGTCTGCGGACCTCCACGCCGAACACAACTGGAAAGTCGGCAGGTCCAAACCGGAGCCAAAAGTTGACCTACCGACAGATTTGGGATTATTTCGACGTTGTGGATATCCAATTTATATGAATCAATCACCTGCTCATGATGCGCATCAACCTAATGTACAGTTCATTACCCCTGTAAAGTGGGAACACGTCTGTGGACACTACTCGTACATTACCAGCGTTCCTCACAAAGCATGGAGGGTGGCTTTTGTCTTCCTGATCATCGCATGCGTTTTACTTTTCTTCGTCACATTTTTCCTCTTCATGCTGGGATTCGCACTATACCTGCTTTCAGTCCAAGGTGTATACCGATCGTGTCAAGCAATTTTATTGTCATCTGGTAAGTGCCGGTCTACGTTATGTCCATTGTATTATAAAATAGGTTTTTAATTTGTGTTTTTGTGCACTCTTTTAAGCCCTTGGCCAAATGTGAGAGCTAATTATGACATTCTTTGATAATTTAAAAAGTTTACGCCATACCACCAATGCAGTTTAAGAACGGTGTCGTACTTCGCAGTCGTCAGATAGAGCTGCGATTCGTACCAGCGACGTAAAAACCGCCTACTGATGCCCCGCACCTAAGCCACCAATCTACTGGTAACAATTGTCACGATGGTTAATGACTCACTTTAGGTTCATTCAGAGCCCTTATCGCGTGAATATATTACGACACGCTATGTCAACTTCAATAGTGGTTGACCTCGATTGACTGAAGGGTTTTGGGTTTTTCAGTTAGTGGGACCTTAGCGGAGACAGATAACTGTCGGAAACTTCTACTGAATAGAAACTTGTTTAACAGAATCCATGAAACCAGGCCAATCATGACAGCCAAAACATTAGGCCAGTTCATGCACCCTCGTTTTCTCATTTTGTGAGTTGTCGGTGAGGCACCACTAGCCTTACGATGAAGGCTTTGAGATGCTCTCTAGCTTCTGCGAACTGGCCGAATCACCTGGGTAAATTCATTTGTCAGTAAGTAACATGAACAAATGTTGTTAATAACATGGCCTAACCTCGATTTTTATGCACGAAATAAAATACTTTATATTCTCTGAAACGCGAGGCAAGCCTTTATAGACATGATCATGTTATTATAACAATGCGTGAACAAAAATGTACAAGAATACAACAAGTTTCTCATAACAGTAAATGCTTGGATGTGTGCGTAACTGCGCATAAGTGTAGCTTGTGTTTGTAAGTCTGCCGTTGTAATTGTGACTGACAGCGTCGGCTGTGTAAGCATAGGCGATTGATGTCTGTAGATTAGATGTAATGATCCAGGTATCCACGGGGCAGTGACTAGTTTGTGGCGAGTCACATTTGCTACGTCAGTGTTGATAAACTGACATTTGTGGATTTTTATAGTGAGAATGCTTGCCAGACGAAAACCCACCACATCCTGGAACACTGCAGCCGAACTATTTGCTGGAACGGGTTACACCCCAACCACCCACCTGGCACCACAAGGGTTGTTCGGCTAGCCATCCAGTCTATCGACCAATCGAGCCATGGACTAGGTTAAATTAACGACAACTCAGCACGTTTTTCCGTATTGACGGTTTTCGCACACAGCCACATATGCGAGATATGCGAAATATTTGAATCACAATATCCCTTCCTCATACTTAGTACACTGTCCACGACCCCTAGAATATCACTGGTTTAATTTTAAGGAGCCAATACACCATTAATGGTTGACGAGAAATTCGTGCTGTATCTAGGTCTTGCACAGTCGGTTGGGGGCAGAAAGTATTACTCACTTGCCTTTTACAGTTTCAATTCTGAGAGTGACCCCGCAGTATCTACAACTCACGCAGGACACATAATGTTCGCGTGGCAGCGAAGCGTCGGTACGTTGTGCCGTCCTACTGCGGTTGCCTTCCCAAATCTTGTATAAATTTATCTGGTGTGTAGATTGAATACCGAATTCTCGTCATTCTTACTATGGAGTATTGTGCTAGTCCTTGGCAACGGGGATATTTTCTAGTCTGTACATCGGATATAAATAAAAGATTGTTTCTTGTATTTTAAACCTACAAGCTCTGTAGCAATCAGCTATGCTTAAACTAAACTGATCCCCCGTAGCAATTGAAAAGGCTTTCCGAGATTTGCTGATGTGTCATATGTTCATAAGCGCTTGACCATGAAGGTTGGTAATTTGGTTGCAATCGATTGGTCACCGTTTGAGGGTACCAAAGCAGTTGGTATTTCTTGGTTCGGTACTAAACCCAAGTGGGTGCAACATTGGTTATTAGACTTAACGCTTCACCGTTTGTTACGCATTCGTCTGTTGAATCGCTTGCCGGTAAACTGTCGTCTTCAACAATCAGGCGAGCTAGTGTGCGAGCAGCTCGATATAAAGATATAACTAGCCTTATTTCGTTTTCTGAATAACGTTCATTATTTGCTAGTGATACCCACTTCCTACATGTGAATAACGTGTTCTATAAACCTGCAATATGATATCAATCAGGAATTATACTGACAGCTCACCATGACCGGTATGGGGTTCCTAACCTTTGTAGTTCGGTTAAACAGCTGTCATCAGGACACCGGTGAAGCTGACCCAGTTTTACTGCCAATCTTGGCCATGGTGACAATGATACACTGATCAACACTGATACACTGATAAACTGATCAAAGTAGAAGATTAAGGAAATATAAAGAAAGGGGCTGAAAACGGCCTACATTTTATCGAGGTGGAATATTGACAGGCAGCTGTAGGAAATCAAATGTACTATCGACACGGATTGTGCGACTACGCCATGTCCGATAGATTCTCTAACTACTGGTATGAACCGTCTCAATGCCTCCATCTACGAAGACGAAACACATCAGGTCTACCAAGTTGTCAATTTCTTTTATTTATACCAAGCTGTTACCTCGCAGGTTCATCCAACTAGTTACGGCAATTGTCTATAGCTCACGTCGAAGAAAACGGTGAATAAGCTTACCGATGGCATGACCTAGTTGGCGTAAGCGGTTATACTCTAGCCAAACACGCAGTGAGGCACCATTAGATTATCTGTCTACCCGAAGCCGGAGGGATAAAGCATCTGTCATACAATCTAAAAGTCGCCGGTTCGAATATACCTAAGTGCTTGAGATCTCATAATACTCCTAGCCCGCGCGCGACAGATAGTAGCTGCTTGACAGCGAACAGTCTGCACAGAGTGACAGCACGCTGCTATCACCATTTTATCTTGTTAAATTGTGGATCTCATCAATTCTTGCTCGGTATTCCCACCTGATATAAGCAGTACTACGAAAACAACGGTGATCAAGCGCGGTCATCTTTTAACCTCTTCATTGCGAACAGGTTAGATCTCTGATCCGTACAGCAGCACCGTGCTTACAAGTGTTATATCCCCTAACTTTGATTAACTGGCTGATACCCACAGTTTCCATAAATGTCTATGCATTAAAAGAGCCACAGGGGCATTAATAACACCTAGTAATATCCTGGGTGATGTGATCACCAGAAGTGAGAACTACTAATGTCATTGAACGGATCAAGCACTTCCACCGGTTATTCTGTAATACAGACCAACCTAACATGATGACAACCTGTCCGGCAACCAGCCAAAAACATTCCCAACGTTTTATCTTATGAGTAATATCCTATGAATGAACCTTTCCATGGCGACCACTTCTTGACGGTCCCTTGAGTGGTCGCCTTAGACAAGTTTGATTGTAGCATGCCAAGCTCTTTAACACATCTGCTTCCGAGTAGAGTCAGATTAGATTCCTCGGGCGATTTATTGTTTTCTCCGTTACGCTTTTGGAACACCAATTAAATGCTTGAAGTAAGGCGCATGCCTTAGATGTATTGATTGCATCAAAGCCTGGGATAGACTCAAAATTCAGCATCAGTTAATAGTGCCGTTAAGTTGTTATCCTAACCGACTATGCTAAACATTTCTTACGATGTATGACATTTATTCTCCCCACTTCCACTTTATCGTCTCTTCAACGAAAGGAGCTAGGATTTCGCTCAATTTTTATTTTGACCAGTCATAACTTGTAGCGTCAAGGAATCTTGACCCTTTGATGAAACCTGAAACTTGTTACTTTTAACTGAGGCTCTAGTTTGGCGCACGTGTGAAATGCGGAGAAACCAACTTGATGATCTCCTTCTGTTTTTCTGCTTTTCAAATTATGGGTAGTCTTTACGTGCAGGTTTCCGAAAACTTCACTGTAAAATCCCTGTACTGCAGTGTATCATACCCTAGCATTGAGCTGAAATGCTCACAGGTGGGTAAAAACCCAAGGTAGTTAGACCTGAAGTGACAATACCGGTACTAACAACATTCATTTGGCAACCTGCCAAACATCGGAGATGTCCACTCTTAAAGTGCAAAATGACGGCATGACGATAGAGTGAAGGCTGACAACCATCTATCAATTAGTTGCGTAAGGTGTGCTATTTGGCTTAGCACTCAGTTTGGTCACTTTAAAATAGAGACCGTAGAGGTCATTAAACTGGTGTCGAGCCGTTACGCGAGTGTTAATGAAACTTTGTCCGGGGGTGACTCGGTGAGGCGCATAGAAACTTGCGTGTTGGTTTGAGTTCATTTAACGAGGGAGCGATAACAGGTGACTCATCAGTGGTAGGCACTTTTCGAACTTTAGGTAGCCAAAAGGAAACGGACAGTTATCATGCGGTTTAGCGCAACTTTGCCACGTATGGAAATATTAATATTTTAAAATTAAAAGTCTCCCACAAAACTGTGATCTTATTGGTATCTTTGTGAAACTGAGCTAATGACTGAGTACTTACCTAACGAAGACAGGGGGTCCTTCAATGATAAGCAGCTTAAACTACCACCGTGACTTTCCAGTGTAGAAATCACATTTCAGGAGATAGATTTGGAGCTAATGGGATGATGCAACAACAGTGATTTGTGGTAATACCTGAGATTCATTCTTTCAACCGGCTTAGATTGACTATGTCGAAAGCGGGTGCATCACATAATTCTTAAATACTGGGCGTCACTGACAGATATATCTATTATCTTCACAACTTGATATACAAATATTTGAAAACTTTGTATCTGTTTCAATAAGCGTAATAAAATCCAAACTTGAACCCAGTAATCCTTTCTGGACAGGTGCTACTTTGCTATTATGGGCTTGAAGAATAACTGAAGCGAGCTAGTGCGTTGCAACATATACGGGAATGTAATGAGCTTCGCTATGGGATCAAAAAGTTGTTGGGTGTCAGTTGAAAATAATAATGTGTGTCTACCACTTGCAATGAGTCATATTTTGATTGCCGGACCACAGTAAATCCTAAGTTGGGCAGATATAGATTATTGCATGATGACCTCCGCATAGTGC